ACAAGGTCTGGCCTCTGATTCTTCCCCTCTCCCTCCTCCCCCTCCTCCCCCTCCTCCTCCTGCCCCTCCGTCTCTCTTTCCTCCCTCCCCACTGGGGCATGAGGACATTAGGGATTGGGGTGAGTGAGCACACTGGGGAGAGGCAGGGGCAGTTAGACAATGAGGATATTCAAGAGGGATCCCTCACCCCACGTAAAGATGAGAGTGCTTTTATTTTAGGAGAAACAGCCTGTTCAGTGTCACCTCTTCATGTTCTCGTAATTTATCACCAAACCTCTTTATTTCCTCCTTCGTGTCCGTCACCACGGTGACTGCCTTTCACCTCCTCACACCTGGTTCATTGCTTCAGTTGACCTCTTGGTTGGTCTAACTCTGAAAGTCTTCTCCCTCCAAAATGCCCTTACACTGGTGATAGCCTCTGCCATTTGCATCCTGATATTTAATATTTGCCATAATTTGATTCCACTTTACTTGTTGGCTTTTATCTATCAATACTTCCAATGAGTACCTTTTTTCAACAGTATTTACTGCTAACAAGCAGGGTACAAGGCACTGTGTTGCCTGGGGGTGGACACAGAGGCGAATAAATCTGTCACCTCTTACGTTCACCTCTTCATGATCATGATGTCATGGATCTTGTCCTTAAGTAATGTATAATGCAGAGGGAAACAAATAATTGTCTATCCTGTAAGGCACGATGGAATGAGTTATAGAGACAGAAGAACCAAAGGGGGGAAAGAAAGGAGTGCAGAAAGGGCCATAATTAATTTCACTTATAATATCAGGAAGAGCTTCATAGAGGAGCCGGGCATTAGAAGATGTGTGAATGGGTAAGGGGTGGAGCACACATTCTAGCTGAGGCGCTATGCCACACACAGGCAAGGGACTGAGAACATGCATAGTGTACCTAGGGAGGTGCCCAAGATACAGCATGCAGGTCCAGGGCTCTGTGTCTGTCTGTCTGTTATGCTTTCCTCCAGTGGATGTGCTCTGTCTCTTTCATTGTCTGCCAAATCCCATTTATCTTTCAAGGCTCAGTTTCAGTCCTGCCTCCCCCATAATGTCTTTGCTGACTGTGTTAGCTTGTGCAACTCCTGGAAGTGTGTAGTTCAGGATTTAACTGTAGTGTCTATGCTGGAATTGGTTTCTCAGCTAGCCCAGGGCAGACATTATACTCATACTTGGGGGCCTTGCAGCCCCAACACAGTGCTAAAGATAGCCTGGGCTAAATGGTTCTATGGGCCCATTCACTAGGACTAACACCCTCATTCTGCCTAAATGCAGCTTATTTCTACTGTCCAGCCTGGGGTTGTTCACGGGCATTTAGGATTTAGCTAGTTATGTTTGTTAACAAATAAGGGAGGCAATTCTTCAAGTACTCACTTGAATGTTCCACTCAGACATGGCAGGGGAGGGGGAAGAGCACTTAACCTAGAGCTGAGCTTTATGAATCTCTAGGCAGAGCCTTGGGAGCTGGGGTGTTTCCAATTTCATAATCTGCATTATCTCTCAAGTTCCCTCTGGAGAATGATCTTGCTTCTCTCAAGGTCTCTTGTTTTAACAGTTGAGTTACACTTAGTTCCCCTAAAGTGCCAGGAATAGAACTTCTCAAGTCCTTTTGAATAATGGGATACTGGGTATGGCTTCTTCTTGTTGCTGAGGCTGCTTGGATTGTGTAATAATCTGGTTCTGCAAGAAACAGAACTAATGAGAAATAGTTATAGTAAGGCATTGGCTCATGTAGTATGGAGATTGAGAAATCCCAAGATCTGTAGTCGGCAAGCTAGAGAGGTGATAGTATATAGTTCTAGTCTGGGTCCAAAGGCCTGAGAGCCAGGAGAGCTGATGGCGTATGTTCCAGTTCAAGTCCAAGTCTAAACTCAGAAGATGATGAATGTCCCATCTTTTTTAAAAAAAATATATATCTCTATTAATTTCAGGGAGAGGAAGGGAGAGAGAGAGAGGAGATAGAAAGATGAGAGAGTCATTTATCGGCTGAAGCCCGCAACCCGGGCATGTGCCCCAACCGGGAATTGAACCCTGATCTCCTGGATCCTAGGTCGACGCTCAACCGCTGAGCCACACCCGGCTGGGCTGAATGTCCCATCTTGAAGAAAGTCAGGCAGAGAGAGAGAGAATAAATCTCCCTTACATCACATTTTTGTCCTAGTCAAGCTTTCAATGGATTTGGTGATGCCCTCCCAGGAGAAACAGGATTAATCTGCTTCACTTCGCCTGCAATGTCAAATGTTAATGTCATCTAAAAACACCCTCGCAGACACACTTTGAGTAATGTTTAACCCATGGCTCCGTCAAGTAGACACATAAAGTTAACCATCACAGAGTGATACAGAAGGAAAGCTTGGTTGGAAAGAAAATCTTATGAGGCTTTTGAAATAGAGACTGAAGAAAAATGCTCCAGCACTCTAGTGCCTACAGAAGGAGCGCTTGCCAACACACCATCTGGGGAGTGTGTCTGCACTGCTGAGAGCCACAACGCTGACAGCTTCTCATGCCATACAGTCATGGATGGTTGCACTGGTCCAGCCAGTTGGGTTGTAGTATGTACAAGGGTTCCTGGGCAGAGGGGGCAAGTGGAGGCTGAAATGCAGCCCACACTCTACTCACCATGCCATGCACTTGGGCGAGGGGCTGCATCTGCCTTAGGGAAAAGGGGCCTTTGCTTAATTTGCCTAAGCCATGCACCAGGGCTCCTCAGGTATACTGGGTGTAAGCAGAGCATGCTAGGTGGTGTGCCACGCCTTATTACAGGTGTGCAACATGCTGATCCTTTCTGTGTTTGGAGTTGCTGAGAAGGGTCATCACCTGTAATCATGAGAAGCCTCTAGCCACAGGCAGCCTCCAGACATGATCAATCTTGACTGTTTATCCCACTGTGCCATAAAAATATTTTCTACATGGCTGTAAGGAAGATTAGGAAGCACCCTGCCAAGGGACTTGCCTTATCATTCATCCAGAAGGCAGCCATTTCAGAAAGGACACATGTCCATCTGTCCTTCTAAGCACCAGCTATGTCCAGGAGCAGAGTACTTCCTTCTTTTTCACAGTGGGATGTGGTGATTTTCCATATTCAGGTAAGATCTGGGCAGAGAAAGTCTGAGCATAGGGTATCTGCCATTATCTATGGTTGTAGTTTAGTTTCCATGGAGATAATGCTGTCTGGCACCTTAGATCACAAATTCATAGCTTGAAGTCCCAGGAGGTTTGCTGTCCTGAGTGCTGGGTTTCTCCATCTGTGCTCAAGAGGGACATGGAAGACACGTTAACAGAAAGGTGCTGCTGGGGAATTCCCGTTCCCACGTGGGTCACCCAACTTCTTCACCCAGAAAAAAAGCAGGAGGGAATGGGGGTACTTGCATTGCTTTTGATTATAAGCTTGAAGCAACATCCAGGCGCAAGCTACTTGCCTTCCTTCCTAGTTGAGCCCTAGTTCCTCCTGTACCCCAATAACTGTGCCTTCACCTGTACACAGTGGCGAGTCACCTCTGCCAGCATCTCATGTGCTCTAGTTCAGAACACTGCAGACAACCCTCCCACCGGCTTGCGGAGTCTTTGATTTTAAATTACATACCGACCAATGAATAATTGTCATTCAACTTGTCTAGAGGATTCATTTTGAGATTTATCAATCCAGGACTCCCTGATTAATTCCTCAAATCCAGTCCTTTACAATTGTACCTCCTCTGTTTCCTCCCACTTTCCTTCAGATCTTGGCTCAAGCATTCGCGCACCCTGCCCCTCGCTTCTTGCTTTTCTTCTGTCGTTCCTTCTCCTTCCCTTCTTTCCTCACTCTTCGCCTTCTCCTTCCTCCCCTCTCATGATCACTGAGGAAAAAAAGTCCTCTGTCTCTTTCTCCAGGACACTTGGCTTATCTTTACAATCAAGCTGTCCTATGCATTAAGTTCCTTTACAACCTTCCCACTTGTCCAGCTCACAGATGCCTTATAGAATCAGCTCTTAATTCTCATTTATGGATCCATTTACATTCCGTTTCAAGTTCCCAATATATCTTCCCACCATTCATTTATTATCATTATTTTCTCACTTCTCTAGACTCCTGGGTTCAAATTTATCTTTCATGGTTAGCTTCCCGTGTATTAGCTCAGCTACTAAGCAGGAACACTCACAAAACATTTGCTTCACCAAGAGACCCCAACGCTGTCCTGACTAGCAGAAATGAGGACCATCAGATAGTGACAACCCCTCAACAGATTCCCCAAACTGAAAGTCCTGTTAAAGAACAGGGTTTGCTGTTCCTCTGAATATTCCAGAGAAGGACACTGAAGCACAGGACTTGAGATTGTCACTAGACCACTACAAATGGTTGTGCAGGTTGTATACTATAAAACTCAGCTGAGGGAGCAAGTTGGAACTGAAATTCAGCCTGGGTTCTACTTGCCAGTCTGTTCACCTGGTGTGGGCCCACAGGGAGGCACCTGTTCTCTTATTTTCACACTGTGGGCTAACAGTGGCCCTAGGTATTGTAGAGGCTGGAGTTTTCACACTATGTTCAGGGGCTCTGGGGATCCTGCACTTAAAGGGTGGGGTCAGCAACCCAAGCAGGCCAGCCTGTGAATAACCTCTGACCTCAGGAGTAGTGCTCTGTGCATGTGTGGAAGGACCTTACACCTAACCTCAGCTGTTAGTCCTGAGAAGTCTAGAGAGGAACCCCAAGGGAACCAGCTGGCCCCTTGTTGAATGAACAGGGTATAATGGCAGAACTGTTGGAACAGATGAGACAACAGGGATAAAAAATCAGGAAGGATTTACCTTATTGGAGTACTGTGCTATGGAATAAATTGTGTTTTCTGACTTCTCCTTGGTGGGGAGCACCTGCAAAACACCCATCATTCACTTAGTAAGGGAACTCAGGCACAATGAATTCCCCTTCCTACTTCTACCCCTGCCCATCACCCCTCCCTAGTAGCATTTTCACTAGGTGGACTTCTCTCCAGGCCTCAGTTCTGCTTCCACCCAGCTTTGGAGAAGATCAGGGTCAGATGAGGGTGCGGTGGGACGGTGGGTAGTATTTTGGCAAAAACCTCTAGAAGAGGGATCTGCATGGCTGAGACTGGGTTTTGCTCAGTCAGGGTTTGAGCTTTCCGTAGGCTTTATGGACCCAGCTGCCTTATCAGGTCAAACCCAGTGCTAGTTCACCAGGCAGACCTCGGTAGCCCCCTTCCCTCCTTGTAGACTTCAGGGGAGCAGGCTGGAGGAGGCACACAGGAAGGTGATAACACGCAGAATACCGATTCTGGGTGGAGGTGAGGGAGAGGCAGGCAGGTAAAAGGCAGGTGGGAGGAGAGGGTGTGGGACAGAGTGACTCTGAGGCTGATAAAAGTAAGCTGCAGACACAGCCAGATAAGGTAATTGAGTTCAAGGCCACCTTTCTCAGTTCTGTGCCCTTGGAGCTCCCTTAGCAACCTGTTCACGAGTCAGCGGCCACGGAACAGCCCTCACCTCACACCAGGGGCTCTCTTGTGGCTTGTCTCCTGTAGAGGGTGCTTCATTCCTAATCACGACTCCCATCTAACCTTGAGCCAGGCCCCCACATGGAAGCTTAGGGCCTCAACCCTGGAGGCTGCCATAGGGTGACAACTGACCACATTCCTGTCCTTATATTGAGAATCACGGCACCATATCCTGGATATGGCATTTCTCAGTCGGATCTCCAGATTCTCGGCTGTGGCTTCTGTCTTGGCAGTAGCAAACAGGGGCCTGCCACTTGTGACTCCCTCTCCTGGGGGTGCTGGTGAGGATCCCTGAGTTGCATCAGCTCACCTTGGATGGGCCAATTTCATCATAGATTCTGGACTCTGCTGGCTGAGTATCTTTGGAAACCATGGCATATGCGTATATTGTGTTCTTTGAGACAGCGTCTGTGTCACAAACAAAGATAGAAACACAACATGCAGAAGGTGGACGACTTTTTAGAGATTGTCTATTCTAATGTTTTCTTTTTACAATGGAGGAATCAAATCCCAGAGGTTAAATGGCTCCCATCCTCTTGAGATGGATGCTCGGGTGCTGGGACCATCTCTCCCTCTTCTAGGGGTTACATGTGGTAAGGGAGGACTCTGTTCTAGAGTCCACATTAGACTAAAGAGGCTCTCCTCAGTCTCTGCATGGGCAGTCAAAATGGCTCTTCTACCCAGCGTCTTCTTAGTGTTTCTGGCGCTTAGCATTGACTGCCTTGCATAGCTAGTTGCATTTTAATGAGAGGGTCTTGGTTTTTCAACTAGATTGATTCTCTCTAGTTATACACTGTGTTGGATTCTTCTGGTACATACATTATTCTTACAGCCTCAAGGTTAAGCACATAGCGGATGCTCCACAAACATTTGTGGCTTCTCGATTGACTCACACCATCAAACACTTATTAAGCTCCCTCTATGTGCCAGACTCTGTGTGAGGCTGTAGAGAAGCAAAGGCAGGAGAGATATGTCCCTACTCTTAATAACTTATGGGCTGGTAGAAGCATTCATCCTAGTGTACCACTTTTCTTTGCTCCTAACATGGAACATTTTAGGGCCAGGTTGAAAAGATATGCCTAGAATTTAGGGTCTTCATGTTTCAGGGCACTAACATATCCACACATAACATGTCTGAGCTGAGCAATATCAGAAGGATCCAACATTTCAGAGTTTAGTCCTATCGAGCTCCTGCCTCACACTTGGCGAGTAAGCTAAACTGAGTGCTCTCTTTTCTCACTTGCAGATGAAAAAAGAGGCCATAAAGGATTGGAGACAGATGTCTTTTTTTGAGGAGCCCTGAAGATCACCTATGGCCTGAGTAGGTTGAGTGACTTCTAATCATGAGGCCAAGCTAGGGCCTATCAAGTACAAGCATGGTAGCTAACATTTACTGAGTACTTACTAAGTCCCAGGCACCAGGCCAAGTGTAGTTCCATTTAACCCATATATGCAGCAATCCTATTATTATGCATATTTTATAATTGAGAAAATTGAGACTTACAATGATAAAATAACTGGTAGCTGATAAGTGGTCAAGCTGGGACCTTCACCCCAGACTGTTTGCAAAGCACAAGCTTAGTCTTAACCACTCTGCTTGAATTCATCTCCTCCAATCCAGAGAAACTTATAGCTGAGAACTTACCAGGTTTCTTATTGAAGATCTTCAAGTAGGTACCTGAGGAGCCAGACCAAAGGAGAGTCAAGAACATGGAAGCAGAGGGGGAGCCTCTCTACGTCCAGGCTTGTTATGATTTGAGCAAAGGGAAGATTTTGGGTGGACATGGGGTTAGGAGGAATAGGATGGTGTGTAATGATCCCCTAGGGTGCTAAGGTCGAGCTTTCTGAATTGAGGCTAGCACAAATACAGAAGGACTCAGAGGGATCTAGAAGAATCTAGTGACAACCATGGAATACAAAATTAGTACATGTTCCACAATGACTCTCCAAAGGTCACAGTAAAAAATATGATGGAATTGAAAGTGACCCTGAAGACCCTCTAGTCCAAACTTTATTTCACATGTGAGAACACTGAGCCAGAGAGGTAAAGATACATGTTTAATGAAGCACAGCTTATTAATGGAAGTGCTAGACTTGAACCTAAGCTCTGGGCCCACTAGATACTGGTGAGCCCATGAACAGATTCTGAAGATCATTCAGGGTGATAACACACAGTCAGGGCCATCAGTCTTGTAGATTGTGTGGTGGTGGGGTGGGGATTGCAGAAACGTTGATTCCCTGGAGCAAAATACCTCTCCACACCACCTTGGATAAATGACTTCAGTCCTAGGAAGAAGGAAGGTGCATTTCCACATTGGGAAAATCCTACCTTGTCCTCTCTTGCACAAAAGGAACAAAAGCACTGAAGATAGAATGACTATAAACAGAAAGAACACAGTCAGCCCACACAGCAATCCAGCATGGCGAGTATGGAGGCCCATTGCAATATCTGAAAATGGAAGATGCAGAGAGACAACTCTCAGAAAATAGGCCCAAGATGCTGGACAAGCTTGTCCACATTCAAGGTGCAGTGCCAGAATTGGGGGCCCTCCGGGGAGTACCAAAGCTTTGAGGGAAACTGTACTTTTTGCTATTGAAAGTCAGGGTTAGAAACTGAACCAGGGAACATCCCTCAGAAGGCTTTGGACTAGTTTCCAGGGCTCCCTGGGAAGAAGTGCCCTGGGGACCTGGCCTAGCATAAGGGAGACATATTCCCCTGGAGGATGAGGCCCGCATTCAGGCCCTACAGCTCTTCAGAGTGATTTGTAGGACGCAGGAGAGATGGAGAGAGCTGGTTACCTGCACAGAGCTGCTGGGCAGAGATGGAGTCAGAACTGTTGCTGACAGGGTTCCAGGCTGTACATGTGTAAGTCAGCTCTTGGTTGTTAGGAGTCTGGAAGATTTGAAGGACACTACCCTCTTCCCCCAGGGGACTCCAACTGTATGTCACATTTTTTTCTTCTTTCTCCACAGAGCATGTTAGTGTGACATTACAGGTACTATTCACATATGTCATTAAACTCTGAGTTATTTTCGGCTTCCCAAGCCTACCTATGAGGGGAAAACACATTAGCCAGTGGTAAACGGGAGCTGGCCTATACCAGTTTATGAGAGCCAATTACTATATTTTCAAAAATTTTTCAAATGTTTATTAAACACAGCCATCATGAAAAAGCAAAGTATAAAAACTTATAACAGCCCTGCCGGGCATGGCTCAGCGGTTGAGCGTTGACCTAGGATCCAGGCGGTCAGGTTTCGATTCCTGGTCAGGGCACATGCCCGGGTTGCAGGCTCAATCCCCAGTCGGGGGCGTGCAGGAGGCAGCCGATCTATGACTCTCTCATCATTGATGTTTCTATCTCTCTCTCTCCCTCTCCTTCCCTCTGTCTGAAATCAATAAAGATATATTAAAAAACAAACAAACAAAAACTTATACCAAAATAAGTCATATTAAAAACAAACCTAATACTCAAAACTCATCACTTTTTTTTTACAATTTACCATTATTTATGCTCTAGACACTATTTCTATCTATGTACGTCCTTTGTAATGATGTCAAAGTCTTTCCAACTCTGCATGTCTTAAAATTATTCATTTGTGACAACATGGATGGATCTTGAAGGTATAATGCTAATAAGTCAGACAGAAAGTATAATGCTAAGTCAGAAAAAAGACAAAAACCATGACTTCACTCATATGTGGAATATAAAACAGAAAGTAACAAACTATCAAAACAAAACAAAAATAGACTCAGACACAGAAGTCAGAATGGAGGTTACCAAAGGGGAAGAAGGGGAAGAGTAGGGCAAAGGGGGTCAAATATATTACAGAAGGAAACTAGACTTTGAGTTGTGAGCACACAATATTGTATATAGATGTTGTATTATAAAGGTATACACCTGAAACTTATGTAATGTTATTAACCAATGTCACCTGAATAAATTTAACTTGAAAAGTCAGCCATGGTGGAAGTATTTATACCACAGGAATTGGCAAATGCTACAAACTTGGACTTGATTTACTGCCTCGTTGATAGTTGCTCTAGACTTAAGAAAGCAATGGAGGAGAGGTTACTAAAGCAGATTAAACTTAAAAGTGTGCCCTGTCTATAGCCTTTACATTGTAAATAGCAACAAAACAAAATAAAAAAACAAATCAAAACAAACTAGAGAATATTCTTCCAGTATTTGAAAACCACTATCTAATTCAGCAAAGAAGTTGCTCATGTCATTGACAAACAAGTCAAGTTCTGATATATATGTTTTTTGGATTGCTTTTTCTTATTAGTTGACTTAAGTGAAAATATCAACCAATATTCATGTTGGTTCATTCATTGATTGCAACTATAGGTTGGATAGCGATATAAACGTTTAGCAAAAATCAGTGAAAGCATTCTGTGAGAACAATTGGCTATATGGAGTTTACAATAAAGACCGTTATATATTTTATTATCATTTATGAAATTGTGTGCCACACATCCTTTATGTGAATAAAGCTTTACACACACACACACACATACAGTATATATGCACAAACACATCATGAGGAACCAGTTGAACATTTATCAGCATACTACTACATGAAACGATCTTTAAAAAAAAAAAAGGCTTTGTTTTCTGGTGTATGTGTGTTTTCTTTAAGTCTGTTGTTTTGTTTTAAAGTGCTCATGGTGAGAAGTTTAAAAAAACCTCTTTAAAAGTTTATTTACAAAAAATGTTTTCACTAAAGCAACCAAAAGATAAACTGTAAAAGTTGTAGGCTGGTAAAGTGTTACTAAAGAGCAGTAATATTTAAGTTGAGGCAATAGCTAGATGTGAGGCTGGCAGAAGGAGAGGGAGGATCTTTTCTTTTACCAGGAGATAAAAAGTGGCCACATTCAGTGTTTAGTCCATTCCTGTCAAAGCTGCTTTGTTGGGGTTGGTTCCTTCCTCGACAGCTGTGTGAAGAAGGAAATAGAAGAATCAGGAGGAACTGGCATGTAACTTTCTAATTACTGTGGAGTTTATAAAGACAATACACTCAACAGGGCAACTATGTGCAGGAACCACTTGTCTGTACTTAGGAAGGAGGAGACCATGAGAAGTAAGAGGCTGTAAAGATTTTTTATTTCATCTTAACCAGAAACCGTGGTCCTAAGAGTCTCTTAGAGAGATCTCTTTCAGATTAGAATTAGTGATGACTTGGCAAAAACATTTCTAAACAAGTTTGGAGTTAAGACCTTGATTAACTATAGCAGCTATAGATACAGGTATGGGCCGTGCAAAATGAACGATATTGCGTGTGTGTCTGTGTGTGTGTGTGTTTAGAAACTTGATTTACAAGAATGTTTAAACCTCTGCTTGCTATTTGCTTGTTTTTAGAAAGACGTGTGTGTGTGTGTGTGTGTCAAGGTGAAGAACAGAAGTGAAGAAGTGGATCCCATCTCCTTTTTTTCTCAGCAGGAACAGAGATGTTACCTGCACGAAGCTGCTTGGCAGAAAAGGTGTGGAAGCCACTGGAGACCTGGGTCAGGTCCAGGCTCCACTACACTCTAATTGTAGAATGGTGGAGAAGGTATGTGTTTTCACTGAGCTTTAGTTCCTTCCACTACAACATGAGGATAACAAAGTTCTCCTGCTAGGGCTGTTGTGAGGATTAAATGAGCTATTACATACTTATAAAGACCACTCTAATATCCATCTGCCTACCATCTATCATCTATCTATCATCTATCTATCATCTATCTATCTATCTATCTATCTATCTATCTATCTATCTATCTATCTATCTATCTATCTATC